CAGCCGGAATGTGATAGACCGAGATGGGGAGCCGCGTTGGTCTGTCTGTAGCAGCAGGAAAGGGCGAGAGTCCAGCAGCACCTTAAAAGACTAACGAATACGTGGCAGGGTAGGAGCTCTCATGAGTCACTGCCACAACGTTTTATTCTCTCAACCCTCTTTCCCGGCATGTTTTTTTTTTAATTCTCCCTCTTCTCCCCTGCCCTTGGGCTTCCCGTGTGTCTGTGCCTCCACCTTCTGCGGCAGCCATTTTGTGATTGCGCCCACCACCCTGGGTCAGAATTCCAGAGGCACCCACAGGCTCAAAAAGGTTGGGGACCCCTGGATCAGGACGCAGCAATTCTAGCACAGCAGAGGGGGCGTATACAAGTGCCACCGATATCGTATTTTTGTAAAATATTTCCCACAAATCAGTCAGTATCAGTACAGAAAGGGATTTCCACCCTAACAAAAATGACTGCTATGGCTGCAATTGCTAATAAATGGAAGGACAGTAAGCCCCCCAACGATACCTCATTGGTTTCTGAAGGTATGGGGCTATGCAGGGGTCATTTTGTAGAATATCTTAGAAGAATTACTTCTGTTTGTTCAACTACAACCCATGGAAAAAGAGAAGTTTCTACCCAAATGGACATGTGGCTTCCATTTTTGAACATAACAGCAAGCCACCAGTAGCCATGTATTACGGATCCAGATCTAAAGCTTTTCTTCTCTGCTGTCAAGTCACTTCTCTAGCCTTCAGTTTATAGTAATAGAAATTATGCTGTCAGTGTAGGTTTGTAAAGAGTTTATAGAAGTCTCACTGAATGTTAGATAAAAATCCTATGTAGACATGCTACACTTACTTATGCCAATCAGTATGTTTCTGTCTCAGTTTAAAGCTGCAGATGACTGCATTATCGTTATCGTTTTTGGCAAAATTGTTGTAAAGTTATTTAGTATTTCATACTGTAATTTTTTGAAAGGATAAATAACAATATGTGACTGCCCTGGGACTGGGGACAAACAACGAATTCCCTTTGTGCTCGGAGAACTGCTCAGCGTAGAACCGCGATTGGAGTATGAGTTTGAATGGACCAAACATCATCCCCAAATCGGGCACTTTTAGGTCCCACTGATTTAAGAGAGGGGCCTAAGTGTTTATTTAACTCTCTGTTGAAATCTCTGGGGCCTAAAACTGCTTAACTTTGACATAATCATGCCCGTAGTGTTTAATTTATAACATTTTTTCTCCTCTGGTCTTTCTTCAGGTTTCTTTTTGGACGCTTGCATTTATTCTATCTCATCCATCTGTTTACAAAAACATAATGCAGGAAGTAGAATCTGTTTTGGGGAAAGCAGGTAAATACACTCCAAGACTGTGCTGTGGTATCGGCTTGTTTCAGAAATCATGCCAAACCGTGGTTAGTTTCTGAAATCACGATTAGTTTCAACTATGGTTAGGTGATGATGCTTGAATTCAGCTCACAGACAATCTTTCAAGCCCTGGTTTGACCTCAACAAACGCTGGTCTCGTCACCGTTGCTGTGGTCAGGTGTCACTGTAGCATGGGATTGTGGGAGGACAGTGTCAAGACCGAGCCAGGAGTTTAACAAACCAAGATTAATATGTTGTCGAAGGCTGAAGTTTCACGGCTGAAGTTCATTAGCTGTTGTAGATTTTCTGGGTTGTCTGGCTGTGGTCTCGGCACTGTAGGACCTGACATTTCGCCAGTAGCTGTGACTGGCATCCTCAGAGGTATAATACAGAAAGATGGAGTACTCTCTGTGTCAAGGTGAGAAGAAAAATGGTAGGCAGGTAATTTATATCTACTCAGGAAGGTGGGGTAGGGCTTAGTCATTATCATGTAGGAGTTCCCCAGGCTGTGAAACATGCTAATGGAGAAACTTTCCTGAGGAGGTTCTTTTGTATATGGATTGGCTGTTTCCTGAGGAGGTTCTTTTGCATATGGATTGTTTCCTGAGGGGGTTTCCTGTTTCCTGCCAAGATTAATCCATGACATCCTCATTTGTACACGCACAGGCAAGGCAGGATAGAAATCTAAAATCATAAATCATAAATCATACAAAACCGTAGTTGAGACTAACTTTGGTTAATATACCCACTTCATTTTCAGATCCTGGTTTAACAAACTCTGACTAAGCAGAATTAGTGGACAAGCTTATTCATTTATTTATTTATTTATATCGATTTGTATCCCGCCCTTCCTGCCGAAGCAGGCTCAGGGCGGCTCACATTAAAAAGTTAAAATACAATAAAACACAAATTCATTACATACAAAACACCTCATAAAAATTTCACAGACATTACAGATACAATTCGCGGGTAGACACCGTTAAAGTGCTAATGGTGGTAACTGTTGGCCCTGATCAGGGGTCATTTCGTAGAAAAAGAGCTAGGGGAACTCATTAGCATAACTCATTAGCATATGCCACACGCCCTGACATCACCGGAAGTGTGTCATAAGGCCACACACCCTGCCCCCAACGGTCCCGGCCGCTGCTGGCCTTGCAACTCCACTGCCGAGCCCCATGAGGGGCCTGGCGGTGGACCTGCAAGGCCAGCGGGAGTGCAAGGAGGCCCTGCAAAGGCCCTCCCTGGCCCCAGGCAGGCAGGGGTGGGGAGAGGCAGGGAGGAAGCAACTTACCCTCCCTCTTCTCCTGCCTCCTCCTGGCTGAATGAGGGCCAGAAGCGGGGCAGCCGGAAGCAGGGGGCGGGGCTTCGTCATGTGCCCCGCCCCCGTACCTCACCCGGGGGAACTGCGATCCCCCGCGATCCCCCCCGAAATGACCTCTGGCCCTGATGTTGCAGATATAGGAGGAAGCATGACCAAAGGACGTCACTATGGACATCGCAGGCAGATGCAGTTGTCGTGAAGGGCCTTATCCCAGTCCCATGTTCCTAGTAGCGGCTCCTAATTGAAGGCCTGGTGGAAGAGCTCTGTCTTGCAGGCCCTGCAGAGCTGTGAAAGGTCCCGCAGGTCCCCGATGTCTTCCGGGAGCTTGTTCCACAAGTATTGAGTCGCTAGTGAGAAGAGGATCCCACTAACCCTAGTCAGTTTCATGAAACCAGGGGTTCGCATGACATCTGAAGGAAGTCATTTGTGTAACAAAGGCTAAAGCGGTTAGCATAACGAAGTATGGAGATTCAACTTTGTTTCTGCTCATCCGTTGTTCGTGCTGTCTTTAATATAGTTGTCAAATTTTAGGAAGGAAGAAAATCTGGATTCTCCATTAGGATTATGAGTACTTCACCCATCACATGAACTTGGTACCTTTGATGTATATATATGTGTGTGTGGATGTGTTTTGTGTGTGCATGGTGTTTCAGATATTTGCATATTTATGGTATATGTCATATGAATTGATGTTTTTATTTATTGTTTCATTTTATCACGCAACTATTCAGGGTTTCCTATGAGAAGCAGGAGGGACATGGGAGTGAAAATGGGTAGAAGTACATGAAAAAGAAAGGACAGAAACCAAAGAAGGGAAATTGTAGTGGGTTGCTTCAGGCTCGTACCTACGGTGGGGCTTTTGGGGGCTCCGCCCCCTTCCTTAAAGGCACAGCCCCACAAGAATTTATCCTGTGAATGCTTTTTTTCAATCATTTTAAAATGTGTGCGCTCCTTTAAGCAGAGTGGGGTGCTGAGGTGGACTAATTCCTGCACTGAGCAAGGGGGTTGGAGTAGGTGACCTCTAGGACCTCCTCTAACTCTGTGCCAAGAAAGTGGTCTCCTTTAAGGGAGCTTTTCTGCCTGTTAGCTTTCTTGACTATAGAAGTCATCACCGCCACCTGCCGGCTTGTTCTCAGAATTGTTGCTTAGGCTGGTAGAAGGGATTAACTTGCAGCAGCTAAGAACTGTCATCTAAAGTGTTTGACAGCCTGCAATTTAGAGATCTCTCCTGGTGACAGCTTTCTTTTGGCTAAATGGCTTTTCTTTCTGCACTGAAAACTTGAGCCCCGCCAGAAAAAAAATGGCCCCACAAGCCACAAAACTCTGTATTTCCTTTCTAACTGGTCCCTTTCTAACTCATGCCCATTTGCTAAATGGGCTGTTGGGATTTTGATGGCTATTCAGAGGGTGGGCGATAACAGAATTGCATGCTCGGTTTTGACATTTCTGATTTCTCCCCAACACTGAAATAATAAACGACAGGCAAAAGATACAGAACAGCTTGCTAGAATTCCCGAACTGGAATGACCTTGTATACAACTTCTGCAGGTAAAGAAAAAGTGGAGCTCTCTAACGAAGACCTCAAAAAGCTCCAGTTGATCAAGTGGTGTATTTTGGAAAGCATACGCCTAAGAGCGCCTGGAGTCATCACCAAGAAAGTGACCAACCCAGTAAAACTTCAAGTGAGATTTTTCTTCATAAATACCTGTCAGGATGAACTGCAGAACAAATTTTGACCCCAGTAGCACCTTTAAGACCAAGCTTAAGTTCATACGGTCACCATTTGTTTGGATTTAATTAAGGGGGATCCAAACAAATGGTGACCGTATGAACTTAGCTTGTTATTGCTGTTTCGTCTTTGTATATGTCAAAGCGTCTTCATTCAATTGAATTAAATAAATAAATAAATAAATAAAGTTGCTTGCTAATTTACTGTTCACCCACGTAGAGGCATCTGCCCATATGTCTGAAGTATGCGCTTCCATTTCAATGTATCTGAAGACATGTGCATACACATGAAAGCTCACACCTTGAAGAAACCTTTGTTGGTCTGAAAGGTGCTAAAAAGGTTTCCCTTGCTCAAAAGCCAGTCGAATCCGACTCTAGGGGGCGGTGCTCATCTCTGTTTCCAAGCCAAAGAGCCAGCGCTGTCCGAAGACGTCTCCGTGGTCATGTGGCCGGCATGACTAGATGCCGAGGCGCACGGAACGCTGTTCCCTTCCCACCGAAGCGGTACCTATTTATCTACTTGCAATTTCTTGCCTTCAGACTGCTAGGCTGGCAGGAGCTGGAACTAGAGACGGGAGCAGTGTTCCCTCTAAGCTGAGTTATAGTGAGCTAGCTCACAGTTTTGTAGCCTCCGGCTCACACATTTTTGTCCTAGCTCGGGAAGGGTGGCTCCAGAGCAAACTGATTTATGCAGTAGCCAAATGGCTCGCTCACAACTTTAATGCCAGGAGCTCACAAAGTAGAATTTTTGCTCGTGAGACTCCACAGCTTAGAAGGAACATTGGATGGGAGCTCACTCCGTCACGCGGCATTTGGGTCTCGAACCGCTGAACTACCGACCCTCCACTGTGCAGCTCAGCATCTTCACCTTAAAGGTGCTACTGGACTCCAACTTTGTTCTGTTTCTTCAGACCAACCCGGCTCCCCACCTGGATCTGTCTTCAAGGATGCACTGCAGTCCTTCGACCTGCCTGTTTCGAAAGGAGGAACTCGTTAAATACATGAAGTGCCCCTTAAGGTTATCTGTTGAGCTTAAGTGAACGATTCTGGTTAGCACGGAACGGCTTCCTCATTGAGGAAGGCGAGGGAAGCAAAAGCTGAAGTTCTCTTTGTGCACGAGCAACGTCTGAGTGAGTTGGGTGCGAGTCCCATTCCTCCAGAGAGAACCTTAGAGATAAGGCATCTTTTCTGATATCTTCCTAACAAACGGGCTGGCCAAAAATATTCGCCATGCACTTTATTGGGCTCTTAATTATGTTTTGGGGGTGACGGAAAGTGCCGTCGAGCAACGTTCCCTCTAAGCTGTGCAGTCCTGTGAGCAAAAATTCTACTTTGTGAGCTACTGGCATTAAAGTTGTGAGCGAGCGACTTGGCTGCTGCATAAATTTAGTTTGCTCTGGAGCCATCCTTCCTGAGCTCAGACAAAAATGTGTGAGCCAGAGGCTAAAAAACTGTGAGCTAGCTCACACTAACTCAGCTTAGAGGGAACACTGCCGTCGAGTCACATTCAGCTAATGGTTGACCCTGCAGGGTTTTCAAGACAAGAGAAGTTCAGAGATGGTTTGCCACTGCCTGCCTCTGCATAGTGACCCTGGACTTCCTTGGTGGTCTCCCATCCCTGTACTAACCAGGGCCGGCCCTGCTTAGCTTCCAAGATCTGACGAGATCAGGCTAGCCTGGGCCATCCAGGACAGGGCTTTTGTTATGTTTTAGATGCTGCAAAGCAAGAGTTGAAACACAGCCAGCGTAAGGTAGTCTTTTCCTTCTTTCAAGCTCCTTTGATCCGTAGATCTTGAGCGGCGGATAAGGAGTCTTTATTTCTTAAGGGGAAATGTGGTGGAGAGATACTTGGCCGCTGCCAGCGTCGTTCTTGGATCTTGATCCGCCAACAGATAGGCAGCGTAATGTAGCAGTTGGAGGGCCAGATGAGTATCTGGGAGACCCAAATCCCCACTCTGCCATGGAAGCTCCCTTGGACTTGTCACGATCTCTCAGCATAACCTGCCTCAGTTTGGTGTAGTGGTAAAGAGCGACGGACTCTGATCTGGGAGAACCGGGTTTGATTCCCCACTTCTCCACATGCAGCTACTCGTGTGACCTTGGGTCAGTCACAAGTTCTTTCAGAGCTGTTCTCTCAAGGGCAGTCCTCGAAAGAGCTCTCTCAGCCTCACCCACCTGACAGAGTGTCTGTTGTGGGGAGGGGAAGGGAAAGGAGATTGTAAGCCACTCCGAGTGAAGGGCAGGGTATAAATCCAATCTCCTACTCCTTGTCTCCTTCTCCTCTTCCTTCATCTCCTTTGTCTCCTCCTCCTCCTCTTCCTTCATCTCCTTTGTCTCCTCCTCTTCCTTCTCCCTCTCCTCCTCCTCCTCCTCTTCTTTCTCCCTCTCCTCCTCCTCCTCCTCCTCCTCCTCCTCTTCTCCTCCTCCTCTTCTCCTCC